ACCCTCTGGTCCTGGTTCCCCGGGGACTCCAACCCAGAACCCTCTGGCTGTGAGGCCATGGTGCTAACAACCACACCACTGTGCCGCCCACATAGAAAAATAACACGATAAATTCTAAACTAAAGCGGAACTTCCATTTAAGCAGAAAATAAACAAACTGTAAATCAAGTAAAAACGAAGAGCTGATTTTGGATCCAATAGAAAGGTGTTCAGGAGAAGCTGAAAAACAAGCTCAGAGCGAGAGAGCACACAGGAAAATGTGACGTCAGGTTTGAAAAAGATCCATTTTTAACCTCTTAATGCCTGAATCAACATGCAGAACCGACGTATCTGTGAATGTGCCTGAAAGCCATCAGTCAGAGCAGGTTCTCAGGCCGGTGCTGGCATGCTTCAGCTGCAGTAAACAGGCCTTAAGAAGTACCATCTCCTCATAAAGGACACGAGCTGTAGGCGAGTGGCTGCCAGCAGCAGCATGTGGTCCGACTCAGTAGGGGGTCGGACCACTTCCTGTGGTTAGACTCACACACAACGCGTCCTGAGTCCCGTCTGAGAGCTGCAGCTCTGCGTGCCACCTGCCAAAAGCTAAAACCTCAAAACCGAGCGGGTCTATTTTCAACGTTTCAGAGTGGAACCTGCAACCACGGAAGCTTCCGGTCTCTGAGATGAAGCCCACAAAGAAAAAACAAGGACAGGACGCTTTACCTCCACAAAAACACCAGAAAGGCGTCAGAATAACCACAAAGCTCCAACAAACACGAACATGCAGCAAAGATGCAGCAAAGACGCAACAAAGATGCAGCAAAGACGCAACAAAGATGCAGCAAAGACGCAAAAAAAAGATGCAACAAAGATGCAACAAAGATGCAGCAAAGATGCAGCAAAGACGCAACAAAGACGCAACAAAGATGCAGCAAAGATGCAGCAAAAGTCATGACCATGACGGCGGTCAGTGTGTGACCCCCACCGACCCACCTTGTTGGCTGGCGCCGCTCAGCAGTGATGTCAGACCTGAGCAAATGTAACCGAGATTATTAATTAGATAGATAGATAGATAGATAGATAGATAGATAGATAGATAGATAGATAGATAGATACTCACAGAGCAGCCGGAGAACAGGTGCGTCCTCCATCTTGCTGGTGGCGGTGTGACTGTGTGCTGGTCCTGGCGCCCGTATAGGCTCCGCCCCCTCTGGGGCTGCTGTGGTTTCCTGCTTCCTCCCAGACTGACAGAGCTGAGCGACGCGTTTCCTGCCGGCCCCCAGCCGCTCGCAGCTTCACAGCGTTCACCACGTTTCCCCTTTTTTAAGACCAAGATTTACGTCCCTGTTTCCTCATTGGTTAACAGAAAAACAACAACGGGGCTCAGACTTAGAAATCAGCCTAACGGGGTGGATTTATGTCCCTGAACTCAAACGTAGAGTTTCCATGAGGATGTCGGATTGTGAGCTCCTAAACTCTGTTTTGAGCAGCTTAACGGTTTGGATGTTGGTTCAAACAGGTTTGAAGCTCATCGGGGATGAAGCAGCTGTTGATGATTATTTTGATTCAATGGAGGAACAAACAGTTTGGTTCTGAAGAGAAGCAGCAGCACCAGAGGGAGGACACACCAAAGACACACGCTCATAACACCACAACCAGGTCAGGAATTCCGCTTCCTGTCTGTTTGTTCTGATATCCTATCATGACAAATAACTTTACAGGTCTTAGTGAGGACACTTTGGCAAAGTGGGGACATTTGGTCAGCCCTCACATTTCTGGTACCAACGCTCCCAGGAGTCCATTTAGATGCCCAAACCTATAAAAGAGTGCTCCCTCTGCTGTCAAAATATATTACTGCACTTCTAGTGTCTATGAGCAGTTTTTGCTCTCTGCCACCCCCAATGGCCATAACGTGTCACTGCACCGGGGACCAGTCCAGTGGGTTTCACTACATCCATCCATTTTTTATGGAACAGCCCCCAGTCCATCGCACACACAGAGACACACAACCAGGGATTTGAACTGGGAACCCTCTGCTGTGAAGCAACAGTGCTGACCACCACTGTGCTGCCTGTTTTATCACTTTTAAAACTAAAAATAAATATGTAAATAAATAGATAAAGAAAATACCCGCCAAAAAGCAGCTGAACAGACAAGGATTTGAAACAGCTTTTCTGCTTTTGTTACTATTATTTAATCTCATTCAGTCTTCTTTATAATTAGGATTTATCAAGATTTCCACCCAAATCAACATTTTTATTATAAACTTACAGAAATCCAGAATAGCTGAAATCACCTCTATCACGGTGTTGTTAAAGGGTTGTTTCACCATTATTATGACCGTGGCTCTTGGCTCCAATATGGTGGAGACCTGTCTTTCGTGACCCGTTCAATGTTCAAACGACGTTTCTCGGACGTTGTGGGGAAGAGCGATTAGGAACGGAGGTGGGCCATGTTTTGGACCTGTTTTTCAGATTTCCCATTCATTTCTCATGGGTTGGCGTTTTGCCCCCTTTTTCGCAGTTTATTCGAAAACGCCCAGCCTAATGACAGAGAAAAATACAAGCCAGCATCCCGTGGTTGGGTCGGATGCATGCGTCAATTGTGGGACCCATTCGGGGAACCATGCGGGACTGGTAAGGCGCTGAAATTCAGGCCGAGAACTATAAGTTGCGGAATAAGTATTTGCAATAGTTAAAGAGGGGCCTGCTGCTCGCAGTGCCCCACTAACAAGCTGAGGAAAGCAGAGCTCAGAAAAACAGCGGAGGATCACAAAGATCTGGTCTGTGAACCCCTATGGAAAGTCCCAAAGCCAGTGGAAGCCCCCTCTCTGAGTGTTGTACATATGTATAATCCCGCAATTTATAGTTAGGGGGGCCACTGCCAGCGGCCACTGGCAGCTATTACTATCCAAAATACTTATTCCGCTCCTTATTAGGGGGGCCACTGCCAGCGGCAAGGCACACCTATTACTATCCAAAATACTTATTAGGGGGGCCACTGCCAGCGGCAAGGCACACCTATTACTATCCAAAATACTTATTAGGGGGGCCACTGCCAGCGGCAAGGCCCACCTATTACTCTTCGCCATATTTATTCCGCTCCTTATAGTTCTCCCGCTTCCGCCCGAATTTCGGCGCGTAACTTGTCGCGCACGGTTCCGCGGATCGGTGCGACCCGACCACGGGATGCGTGCTATTACCGTAAATTCCGGACTATAAGCCGCTACTTTTTTCCCGTCGTTTGAACGCTGCGGCCTATAATACAGTGCGGCTAATACATGTTTTTTTCATGGCGCGAAAAACATACCAATAAAATTGATGAGTATTAACAGAGGTCCGATGAAATTGTGCGATACATAACTCTCACTTTCACAGTTATTTACAGTCTTATAAATCAGTCATTTCTACTCTCCCTCAACATGGATACTCGAAGAAAAGCATACGATGTTATGTTGCTCTTATTATAAAAACGGTTTTGCGAGACCTTTATTTTGACAACCCGCTAGACAGGAAGTTTACGGTATCCTAGCAACGGCAGTCAGCTTCAGTTTGCCGGTAGCGAAGACGGCTGCCTTCGTCTTCTACTCCTAATTTGTGACAGTTTGTTTCCATGTTTGTTCAAGCAACGTCTGTAAGTATTTGTTTTCGCAACTGGACATATTTAAGTAACTTTTACGGTAATTCATATGTTGATGTTAACAATGTAAACAAATACGTGACGGAGCCTAGCCAATCCTAATTCATGTCTATACATGTACAATTCTTGACGTATGTTTTGTATGTTTGTATTTCAGTTTCACAAGATAAAGTATTCAGTAAATTCACAAAAAAGAATCTGCTTCTGTGGAGTTGCTGAGTACATGTTTAACTGCTTGGATAACTGACTCTTAGTGAGGCCATGACACATAATATGTACCGTATTTGTTTGTTTTATCATACGGATTAAATCAAACGTTAAAAAATGCTCACCTGTAACATCTTTATTTTGTAAATATCTCATACAACGTGGGAAACCTGCGGCTTAAAATCCGGTGCGGCTTATAAAAGTACAAAATTGATTTTCTTTCTAAAATTAGAGCGTGCGGCTTGTAATCCGGTGCGCTTTATAGTCCGGAATTTACGGTACTTATCTTTCTCAAAGGACCGGGCGGTTCCGAGTAAACGGCGAAAAAGTGGCGAAATTTGGGCCATAGGAATGAATGGGGCCGCCGACAAACGGGCCCAAAAAAAGCCGAGAGATGAGGCCTGTCAGAGCACCCCGTGGAGAGCAGCACCAAAATGGCCTCAAAACGTAGCTGCGGGCGTCTTCTTTCGGCCGATGTGCCCGCTTTTGACCCCGGCCTTACAGTTTTCCGGCAATTGGGCACAGAATCCAGACTTTCACGACCTTCTCCAATAGGTTTTTAATGGAAGAAATTGCCATAAAAAAATAACCGCTGGGATCAGCCGGAAATGAAATACACTGGCTTCGACCTTAAAGTCTCGTGCTGCTCACGGTCCAAGAATTTTTCAGTTTTGTGAAATAGTTTTTGAGGATACTTTTGATCCATCTGTCAGTTGGGTCTGTCAGAGCTACGGCTTACTGATGAGTCACAGGTGTGGGAGTTGAGACTTTGGCCTGGCTGCTGGCGCCGTGGCGCGACGTGTTTGCTTCCTGACTGTTACAGAGGGAAGAAAGGCTCTGCTTTGGGACTTTCCATCAGGGCTCTCAGAGCAGATCTTTGGGTTCCTGCTCTGTTTTTCTGAGCTCTGCTTTCCTCGGCTTGTTGCTTTATGCTGTTGAGTTCTCCAGTCCAGCTCAAACCCACCTGAGTGTGTTTCCTCTGCAGTTGTGACCTCACTGCTGAGCGGCTCCACACACCAATCTCCACCATACTCTGACCAGACTCTACAGTCTCCACCATACTCTGACCAGACTCTACAATCTCCACCATACTCTGACCAGACTCTACAATCTCCACCATACTCTGACCAGACTCTACAGTCTCCACCATACTCTGA